TTTTTTTTGTTTTTGTTTTTGTTTTTTTTTAACTGAAATTGATAACTGTATTTGTGCTCCAGAAAACAGTACATTCCATCTACAATAAGACTCTTAACTGGTCACAGACTAAGAGGTGGAGGGACGGTTAAGACCAGAGGAGTGGTCCAGCACTCAAGGACAGGTTCCATGCACGAAGGCCTAAAGACAAGCAATCCAATGAGCAGAGAGGGGGGACTGATGGCCCCTCGGCACACCACACAGGAGCAAAACCGAAGGGCATTTATTATGTGCAGAAGGCAGATGATGACAGGTAGTGAGTATTGTATTAGGAAGTATTTCAAACACACAGTAAAGTCTTAAAACTTATATATTCAACAACCAGATTTATCCAGTATGAACATGGAACCACATTTCTTTGGTATCTTTAAGTAGTAAGCGACACAGGTAGCAGAATGTATCTTTCCCAGAACAGAATTCTCGTGAATTTGGTATGAATCTTTCATGCAAGACTCATTTGGTACAAAAACTCAGAAGAAAAATCAATAAAAACCGACCTACATATAAGAATGGTAGGTAAGCAAAAACAAATGGAGGCATAAAAAGTCATTTAAAAAAAGGAGACCAAAAAAATCTTCTGATAAACAAAAGCACAGTATGCGGGGTGATTTTTCTGCTAAGTCTGGCCTTTGCTGTTTCCTTTCTCACAAGTGTTTATCTTCAAGACAGAATGTTTCTGAAAGAGAAAAACCAACTATAATTATGCTTATATAAAAACTAAATTTTGTGTTTTTGACTTCTATTTTAAGTACAAGCAAATATCTTTGAACTAAAACTGCACATTCACATCAGATATGTCAGTTTAAAAAAATTAATCACTACCATAACAGTGCTACATGTAGCTGTTTATATTTCCCTGCACAAACAAAGTATAGCTGTCTGCACTTTCCTTCAGATATAAAATACATCTGGGGCTAGCAGGTGGTCTAGCGGTCAAAGTGCTGGACTCCCACATGACTAACCATCATGGTTTGAGTCCCAGACCTGGCAGGTTGAAAATCATGCCAGGCACGTGTGTGCGGATACGTGTTCAAAATCCTGAGAGGAGACTGGAGAAGGGACTGTGGTATAGCCACCACCCCTGCCCCGCCAGGGAATGATTACTCACTTTCCATCTCTCTGTCTCTCCAGTGACTGCATGCACCCTATGGCAAAAACCTTAAAAAATATATCTACCTATATATATGCATAGAAAAATGTGTCGTGACTTTCTCAACAACCCAATATATATAAAATACATCTGATATTACCTTGGGTGTTAAAATATTTCTCACTTTTGAGCAATCTTAGAAGGTTTTTGTATATTCTCATCACCACAGCACTCCTACTTCAGCAATTTTACAACTATTAATAAATTTAACAAATGAAAACATATTTCTCTAGATAGGACAAAATACGTTCACTTTTAAACACACTTTCTCTCTCTCGGAATAATACTTTGAAGGGGAAGGTAAATATTCAACTTTTTTCTTTGGTGCAATTGGGTACATGGGCTTGTGGAGGGAGTGGGGTGAGAAAGAACCTCCTGTGGGGATGGCCATGCCTCAGTCCCTTCTCCAACATCCTTCTTTCAGGCTCTCAGGATTTGGGGCACACACGCCCAGCACATTTTTCTTTTCTTTTCTTTCTCTCTTTTTAATTATTTAATTTTCTCTATTATGTTTTAATTTGACCAGAGAGTGACACAGAGAGAGAAAGGGAAAATGACAAAGTAAGCTGCCAGGTCCAGGACTTGAACCACTGTTGACCATATGGGATTCCAGAGCCTTAATCACTACACCACTCGCCAGCCACTAGCACTCTATCACTTGCCAGTAACTCACACATTTTTCAAGCTGCTGGGTACAGGACTTGAACTATACAGTTGGCCATGTTGAATCCAGCAACCTTAACCATCATGCCACAGGTTGGCCCTCAAGTATACTGGCCCACAGTGAAGTATGTTTACGCAACCATGTATATAATTTCCTTCTCATAATAGAACCCTCTAGTTCTACACGCTGTAGAATTGATCTAACCTAAAAAGGCACTACAGCCTAGCATACAGCTAGCAGCAAAGGGGAGAAGAGAGAACTGAGCTTGAGTATCCATTCTGTGCCTGAATTTGGACAGCCACGTGACCTCTCTGAGCCTCAGCAACTTCCTCATCTGTACAACAGGGTCCACTTTTTTCTCAAGGGATAGTGAAGATGAAGTATGTGACTAGGTGTGAAAATGGTCTGTGAAAAGGGCACTAACCAAATATATGGTATTCTACTATATTCCAATGTAGACAAAATATTGATTTATTCCCACAGTGGGGCTTGGGAGGTCAGTTCAACTACCATGCTTTAAATCAAGGGTTTTTTTGGTTTGCTTTTATTTTAAAAGTTACTAAACACTGTCTTCAATCTATCTAGAAACAACTTAAGTTGTACACATAAGCACTCTCAATATCCTTATGGGAAAAAAAAAGCCTATTACACAGAAAAAAATAAATAAAAAGACATACACGTTAACTAGCTTGATTAAACTATGTTTGATAAACCAGCTTGATTAAAACTACAGTTCGGTGCTAGGATTAAATCCCAGAAGTTCACATCACTGCATATTCCTTAGTCTATGAAATTTAAATTACCATTAAATTTAAGATTTTACACTTAAAACAGCAATAAGTATTTCAACTTAATGTATTAGGGAAGTCTGAAAGTTGTAATTTCAACTATAAGTCAGTTCATAATAGACCAAAATTTGTAACAGAAATAAATAGTGAAACTCAAAACTACGGGTCTTGTATTAATGACATTTAGTTTAGAATTCAACTGTACTTTCCTAAAACAAAACACACAGTAAATTAACACAAGAAAAATGTATTTTAACACATATACTGGTTCCTTGAGAGCAACCAGGACTGCAAGAGACTCACAAAGAGGAATAAGGCCTCTCGAGCTACTCCCCAATGGTCTGATATAAACCGCAATTTATCCAACAGAAGCTTACGTATCAAGTAAATCAAAATTGCTTTCCTTTTAGTTGGAAATTATATCAACTCAAAGTGGTAAGGAAGACAATTTCATTTTGATCAGATGTGCTAACTGGCTAATAACCATAATTTCTTTTCTTTCTTTCTTTCTTTTTTGGAGAGGTTTTTGCTATAGGGCACGTGCGCTCACCAGAAAGACAGAGACAGAGAGAGAGAGACAGAAAGAGAGAAATCACCCCCTAGGGCGGATGGCTACGCCGCAATCTCTTCTCCTCCATTCTCCTCTAGGGATCTTGGGCATGCACGCACATGCACCCAGCGCTGAGTTTAAGCTGCCAGGTTCAGGACTCGAACCACGGTCGACTACATGGGAGTCCAGCGACATAGCCATTATGCTAGCTGCTGGTTCCACTAACCATAATTTCTGAGGGTCATCTTAAGACAGAGGACTTGTTAAAAAAAAAAAAAAGTGCAGCAACTACTAGTTGAAAACTCACCTATGTTCTTTCAGTACTAGAATCACTACAGTCAAAAGAGAATATGGTTTGGGACCAGCAGTTAGCGTAATGGCTATGTCACTGGACTCTCATGTAGTCGACCGCGGTTCGAGTCCCGGACCCGGTGGCTTAAACTCATGCCGGGCGTGTGTGCATGCCCAGGATCCTGACAGGAGAATGGAGGAGAAGGGATTGCAGCATGGCCATCCCTCCTGGGGAGTGATTTCTCACGTTCTGTGTCTCTGTCTCTGTCAGTCTGGAGAGTGCACGTGCCCTATAGCAAAAACCTCTCCAAAAAAAAAAAAGAGAATATGGTTTGTTTGGAAATGAAATAAACCATCAGTGAAGCCCACTTCCCATTCTCAGCCCTTAGGGGTCTCCTCACAAAAAGTGCTAAACATACGTATATGCATATATTTAAGTGCATAAGTACGATCTGAGTTCATTTCTTTTCTCAAATCACATTAACTTATTTCGATAAAATATCTGAAACCTACTCTTTCTGTTCCAACTAGTAATTTCAAATTGATTCACAAATAATTTAAGGCAGAGTTGGTTTTTATCTCATAACACTTCTTAGAAGTCCCTCCACACAGCTATAACATGAGCAGACAGTACGGAATGTATGCTGCAACCTGAACACCCCCGGGGCTCCATACCATCAGCAGTGTCAGAGGGAAATGATCAGACCAGACCTAGGAAGACAGCAAAAACATTACGACCAGACCTCAGACCATGAGTCACAAAATACGGCACTGCCTTTCCACAGGTTTCACTCTGCTGCATCAACCCTGTCAATGTGACTACATTTGTGTTATTGGCGATTCTAGAAGGGGGAAAAACATCAAATTTAACTTACTTAGCTTTTTAACAGTTTCTTCATTTCAATAAATTTATTTTGATTGGTTGGATTGTTTAAGAGGAAGAGAAGAATCTGTTCATGTTTTTCAACCTATGGGTAAAAAAGAAATAGTATAATTCCATTTATAAAAATCTTGGGAGTATAATTTCACTTAAAGGACATTTTACTCACTTGTTTCTGTAGCTCTGTGCAGCAGCAATTCATCTTGTATGTCTTTTCTACAGCAAATGAAAAATAAAAATAAAAAATAAAACATTAGCTAGCACGCAGTGTAAATTAATGAGCAAAACTTGAGAGTCCGCATAGACACAAATCTGTCCGTATGTGGGGTGGGTTCCAACCATAAAGAACCTGACCCAACCATTTGGGATCTGGTGTTATCTATCTACTGTGCGACTTGGGTTTTATCAAGATACCACCTGCACCCAAGGTCCTTCATCTATCACTCGTGAGATAATCTCTCTTTTGGGTTGACGGCAGATCTGCCAAAGATGCATCTTATAAAATACCAGTAAGATCCAATCTTAACTGTATGGGTTCTTTTCATTTGATCAGGATCAGAAGTAAAGTGGAAACGAGGCACATGCAGCGTGCTTCGCACTTCTCAAGCTCTCAGCACCGTTTCTCACAACGTGCTGAGCCTGATCTGAGGAGCTTCGGCACGTGAAAAATGGCTTCCTTCCATCAAGGTGGCAGCTCCAAGGGAGCAGCAAACGTCAGAGTCCTGCCACTGGATTCATAACGGAGGGGGAAGGAGGGGACATGGTCACAGGAAGTGAGGAAAGGCCAGGTTAATGAAACTGACTATGCGTAACTCACTACACTTGCAGACAGGATCTTTACGGAAAGCACCTTGCTTTTTAGATGTGCTGTTTTTTGCCAGACCATATATCACCAGCTTATCGGCTATGTTGATAGTTCCGTTCTCAGAACACTTCTCAACGGACACTGTATGGACATTCTTAGTAACTCCTTTCACAGAAAGCATTACATTCTGATTCAACATCAAGTTTTTTAGTAGGTCTATTATTAATTGAGAATGGCTTCCATTCAATTCCATCAATCCTGGAAAAAAAATGAGTATTACAATTAGTCTTTGAATGCCTTTAAAAAGACAATATTCAGATAAATCATCTAAGTATAATAAGCAAAAGGTTTATTAATTTTTAGCTAGACGTTGGTATGCTTTGTTGTAGTACTGTTGTTGCATAAAATAATAATGTAGGGCCAGCATGTGGTATAGCAGTTATGTTGCTGGACTCCCACACGGCCGACTCCAGTTCGAGCCCCAGACCCAGTGTCTTGAAACTCATGTCAAGCACGTGTATATGCCTAAGATCCCGGGAGGAGGATGGAGAAGGGATTGTGGTGTGACCGTTACCCCTTGGGGGTGATTTCTCACTTTCCCTCTCACTGTCTCTGACTCTCTCCAGTGAGCATATGTGCCTTAAGGTAAAAACCGCTATTAAAAAATAAAGTTTATTCACTAAGCACTTACTGGTCACCTATAATGTGTCAAACACTAAGCCAGGCCTAGAGGAAACAAAAGATTTCTACCTGCCCTTATATATTCTAATGGGAGGAGTGACAGCAGTAAAGATTACTTTTCCAACTCGCTCTCTCTGACCACGCCAAAGGGGACTACAAGGCAATCCGTGTGGTACCGTTTAAAGCTACTTTACAGGCATTGTAGTTCTCTTCAGATTCTAAGGGAAGCACCGAATTATGCAGATTTAGTGTGCAAGAAGGCAGCCAAAAATGGTGTCACCTGAATGCCTCCAGTCCCTAAAGAGAGCTCTGACAAGGCAGAGACCCCAGGGGACCTTAGTTCTTATCCTGGCCCTGCCACTTACTGCTTTGAAAACAGACAAAACAGAATCTCTGAACCTTGCTGCTCTGAAGTAATCTATACAACAAAGACTAACTGAATATAGTTTTTGTAAAGACATAAAGAATAGAGGATATGAGACTAGCAGATGGTGTAATGGTTACATCTCTGGACTCCTACATGGACTGAGGATTGACTCCCAGACTTGGAGGCTTGGAACTCATGCTGGATGCATATGCGCACATGGTCAAAATCTAGAGAGGAGAATGGAGAAGGGACTGCAGGGTGGCCATCCCCCCCGGGGGGTGGTATCTCACTTTCTGTCTGTCTCTTTGGCGAGCACATGCACCATACAGCAAAAAATCTCTCTAAAAAAAGTAAAATAAAGGATATGAAATTTCTTTTATCTTTTGTCTGTTTGTTTTTGTTGTTGTTTGCTATAGGGCATGTGCACTCACCAGAAAGACAAAGAGAGATAGAGTGACAGAAAACAAGAAATCACCCCCCAGGGGGGATGGCCATGCGACAATCCCTTCTCCTCCATTATCCTCTAGGGATCTTGGGCACACATGCACACGCCCCCCGGCATGAGTTTAAGCCACTGGGCCTGGGACTCCAACTGCAGTTGACTGCATGGGAGTCCAACAACATACCCATTATGCCAACTGCTGGTCCCGAAGGATATGAAATTTCTATAAAAACTCTGCTTGATATTTAAGGAATCTGGGCAGTTACTTGAAATATTCACTTGAGTCAGACTAAAAGTCAGAAAACATACGGAGAAAAAAAAAAAAAACTCCACAGGCACCCACATGAAAAAAATGCCTTGTTTACCGTCAAGCGAACATTTAATAATTTGGAATGGAAGCTCCAAGTGGCTGGCAGTGATTGGCTGCACTCTGGAGAGAGGCAGAGTTTCAATGTTTCCGTAGTCTGCATAGAGCACTTTCACATCAGCGTCTGTTGTCTCCAGAACAACTGAACGGTACCAGAAATCGTCACCTGAAAATATAATGCAATCTCAGGAAAGAAGTTATGGTCACTGACTGCCCCCTCACCTTGAGATGGTTATTCATGGTTACATTTATATAACTTAAAAAATTTATGCTGAGGGGCCAGCAGGTAGCATGGCGGTTAAAGGTGGCTGGACACCCACATGGCTGACTGCGGGTCAAATCCTGGAGCTGGCAGCTTGTTTTCTCCCTTTCCTTTTCTTTCTGGTCAATTAAAAAAAAATAAAAATAAAAAAGACAATGAATCAAATTAAATAAAAATAATTCTTTAAAAATAATTAATGCTGAGATTTCTGGATAGAGTCCAGATTAAATATAAGCACTAATTTCTAGTTATTCTGAATTCTACTAAAAAGACAGTTAACAGGATTAAAAAAAAAAAAGCCATAAAGCACCAACAAGACGATATGATACTGGAAACTGGAAAGCAGATGCATAAATAGTGTATTCTAGCAGAGCTAGGACAACTCAACCAAAGCTGGCAAGTGAGAAAGCCAAAAGAGCATTCCAGTTTGCATCTCAAATCTCCAACCCCCAAGGCTCAGTAACTGATGCTACTCATTCAAAGGAAAGAGTAGATGGAGCTAGAAAGGAGGACTGGGCAAAGGAAGCAGAGTTATTTCTCAAGATATCAGAATAGACTTACGTTCATAAACACATTTATGTCTAATAACTACGTTAAAGTTACTAAAGAGAAAGGTAAGCTTCATGTTCACCTGTTTTAATAAAGCTCAAGAGCCAGCAGGCATAGTGGTTAAAGCTCTGAACTCCCAGTAGGCCAACCACAGTTTAAGTCCTGGACCCACCAGCTTGAGACTCACACCAGGCATATGTGTGTGTGTATGCCTGAGATTCATACTGGGCATGTGTGTATGCATGCCTGACATTCACACGGGGCATGTGTGTGTGTATGCCAAAAATTCCAAGAGGAGAACAGAGGAGAAGGGATTGTGGTGTGGCCATCCCTCTGGGGAGTGATTTCTCACTTTCTCTGTTTCTTTGTCTTGAGAGAGCACACACGACCTACAACAACAACAAAAAAAACTCTCAAAAATTAAATAAATAAATGAAACTTAGAATGCCTTTCCTCTTTCCAGGCAACTGTTCCCACACAAGGACAGAAGACTAGCAGTGTCTTCTCCAAAGATGATGATGTAGACAGACTACGGACTGGGAAAGGTGAACCAGAGCAGAGGAAGAAGAGTTTACAAAAACCTTGTCGGCAAGTTATGTACTCCAGGCTGAGACATCCATCCTAAACGAGAGTACCTCATAATACGAACATGGGAGCTCCCCAGTGGGGTGCCAGAGCCAGATCACCCTTTAGAGAAAGCCACTGGTAGGCAAGCCTTGCCCGCACACACAGAAACTTCCAAGAAACTCTTTAGTGCCCGCCCTCTCTTAAATATAGGAACAGCAGATAATCACCAGATATTTGAAGAAAACATCTACACCATGACAAAAAAGACAAAAACAACCAAAAGAGGACCTCAAAGAAACACAAAGGGAGGAGAGGACAATAAAAACTAAAAGAATGACAGTAATGTTCTGGGAGAAATGGTTTTCTGCCCTTCAAACAAGAATAAGCTAATATTAAAACATACACATACACAAGAGACCAAAACCAGCTACCAGAACTAAAAAACAAAGCTGGAAGATGGGACTGAGGACATTGCTTGAAAAACATAAAAGGTATGAAAGAGCAAGAAAGGAAACTTAGCAGAAGAGTTTAGGCCTAATACAAGATTTTGAGTTCCTAAAACAAAAAACAGAAACCGAAAAAAGGGAGTTAAAGTACTAATTCAGGAAAATGGCTCGAAACTGAAGCTCATTCATCTCTAGACTTATTGCTCCCCCTACCACTCCACTGACTGCCCAGCACAAGGGTGGAAAGAAAACCGTCACACTGTCACATCACGAATTTCAAAACTTAGGACAAAGAGCATTGTGAAAGTTCCATGAAAGAAAAAAATATGTGCAAAGTTTGCAGAATCCAGAATGCAGCTCTATCTTTTGACCAGCAGCACCAACAGCTAAAACAGTAAAATACCTTCAAAATGTTGAGGGTAAGATGATTTCCAACCTAGAATTCTATATGCAGGCAAGCCATTATGTAACTATGAGGGTAGATTAAAGACTTGGGGGGGGCAGCAGGTGGCGTAGTGGTTAAAGTGCTGGACTCCCACCTAGCTGACCACGGTTTGAGTCCTGCCCCTTGAAAAATCACACCAGGCACGTGTACATGCCCTAAATCCCAAAAGGAAAGTGTTGGTGAGGCCATCCCCTCTATGGAGTGATTTTTTACTTTCTCTGTCTCTGATGAGTACACACGTCCTATAGCAAAAATCTCTCCAAAACAATAACAAAAAGAATAGACTTTTTCCAAGATGGGAGATAAAATTCATCTCAACACGTTATCTTTTCTCAGCTTCTGGGAATAGGACCCACCCAAATATTTACTGGAGTAAGTCAAAGTTAAGATATCCAGAAAACAAAGCCAGACGAAGTGGAGAGAAATCTAGCCAACGAAGTGGGATGAGAGGAGTTCGGGAAACAAACGATGGTGCTGAAACAACTCACAGCATCAATGGCGAGGAGAAATTCCAAGACGACAGGTCAGGTCTGCGGGAGAAGCAGTCTGGATAGGAGCAAGTGAAAAGGCTGAAGGTGGCTGGGATGTGATAGAGGCTAATAAAGTACACAAAGTCCTCTTTGAGGAAATTTTAGTGCAGAGAAATAGAGTCAGTGAAAGTACAACAAACACTGACAACAGAAGCCACAGAAGAGAAGCTTAACACAGTACGTGGCTGAACTGTAACAAGTGTTAATGCGTTCATAATGAAGTAACACATATTCTTATTTGGAAAGGAAGGAAATTGTAGATCCAGTTGTGATACGAAAGAAAAATAAAACTAGGGACTGACGTCAGCAAGACAGTAGGGTAGAAGGGTCCCCAGCCTGCATTCCCCAACCAGAAACAACCTAGGCAGCATCCTCTGGTGTCTCTGGAAGCTTTCAAATCCAGGTAGAAGATTTTGAAAACCCAGTGGAGCCCAAGGCAGCGAAGGACTTCTTGAGAAGGCTAGCAGCAGACTCTAGGCTCCCAGCCCTGGCTGATCCCTGGAAGTCTCCCTGCTCTGCTGCTAACTCAGCTTCAGCCATGCTTGCTTGTCACCCTGCCATCAGCCCCACCTGCCCAGAGACTGGCGGGACCCTTACCATTTAGGGCCCTGGTCACTAACAGGCTCGGCCAACCAGAACTCACTGCAAACCTTGAAGCAGCCCTGCAACCTGGTTCTAGCCCCATTTCACCTCAACCTCTGAGGCAAACCAGAATATTCATTGCAAATATCATTTAACAAAGGAAATCTGTTAATATAAAATGTTAAAAAGAACGGTTAAAGTGTACCTTAATCAGATTCCCTGAGGCATTTCATTCTTCTTTAAGTATATTCACAAACACAGCTCTATACATTATTTGCAATCTCTCCATATATAAATACTATATAATACAGCATGGTTATCTAAAGTTAGTTACATGTATAAATCATATCACAGCCTTGCCTAGAAACAATTTACATGGAATAGAAAAGCTGAATGACCCCACAGGAACATACAGATTTATTAGCATATGGGTTTAATTCATATGGTTTTGAATCTATAAACATAAGAATTAAATCCACAGTCTTCCTCTGCCTCATTTCTCTAACAAATGAAATTTGCATCGAATGTAACAAATGTACACAATCTCATAAAAGAGAATAGACTAAATATTTCTCTTTAATATTGCACCTGAAGAAACCTTACCTGTGTATCTGGCACAGCACGCATCTCCAATTTTTAGTCTATAGGATGGCCGACTTTTCTGAGCATTGCAATATTCCAACAATTCAGCTGTCAATACACATAATTTTTCCTGATTTCCTAAAATAACATGGAAACAATTTTTTTGTGTGAAATTGCCAATGCTACTGTGAACACTATAAAAATCATGTCAATCTAATCCATCAAAAAACCTTCTGAACATTAAAATATATATTTATAAAAATATATACACCCACTATTGGTTGTATTGGGGAAGGTACACAACACAGGGAGAGGAAGGTAGGAAGCAACTGGTGGGCCAGTTTCTCGGAAAGGATGGTTTTGTAATAGTATGACCGACTTTATGAACATCAATTTTCAAAACGGTTTGGTATACTTTTTAATAAATGTGTTATGTATTTAATAAAACAAAGTCTTCCAGGGACTGGCAGACTTCATCATACCATATGCTGTTGTCAGGATGACATTTTTGGTAATACTAGAGTTACATTTTAAAAGTTATTGGAATTACCACTATTTCAGATCTGATGATTTCAAACAAAGGTCTGTTATTTCAGCTTTATAGCACCTGCAGATTATTCTGATACCACCCAACTTGCATGCTAATTCACCTTCAGATACTACAAGAATAAATACAGATATACTTAAAAGATTTCTTAATTGCAAAATTCCATTAAACAAGAAAGGAAACTTAAAAATCAATTTTTGGCTGAGCCACAATGGCAAACTGGTAGTGTAATACTCTGCAATTCTGAAACCCATATGGAAGGTAGGAGTTTGGTTCCTAAGTCGACCTGTACTCCCAAGGCTCGTGCATATGCTTGTCATCCCGGCTGGCTGGGAAAGGGAGGAATCATAGCATCCTCTTGTTAAAGGTGGCATACATGCTCGCTCGTACGTGCTCTCTCTCTTTCTGTGTATGTGTATATAAATAATATATGTGGGTTTTTTTTAACTTAAGTCATTTTTTTTTTGAGGTTTTGCTTATAGCATGCGTGCACTCTCCCAAAAGACGAGAGACAGAAAGTGAGAAATCAGCCCCCTCCCCACCCAGGGGAGATGGCCACACCGCAATCCCTTCTCCTCCATTCTCCTCTCAGGATCTTGGGCATGCACACAAACGCACCCAGAATGAGTTTAAACCACCGGGTCTGGGACTCTAACTGCAGTAGACTACGTGGGAGTCCAGTGACATAGCCATTATGGTAACTGCTGGTCCCAATTTAAATCAATTTTTAAAAGTTACTTTTCTTCATGATTAGTTCCGGTGTAGAACAATTCTCTAAGTTTCTAAAATATAGGAAAGCTATGTTACAGACTGATGATAAAGTCTCAATATATATGTGACGGTTTTGGTTCAAACTCATTTAAATGGCTGTAGAAGTTTAGCTTAGTAAATACTTTTCACTATATATAATACATGTTTTAAAACAAGAACTTACACAGTAATAGGGACACTGTTTTGTCATTATCAAGAACATGCTACCGAGTGGGTGCTAGATATAGGGAATACTCTTCTCGTCTCCCTTTGTGTTTTTAATTATACTTTTTTTGAGAGAAACACGCAAGCACCCTGAATTGGGTCTCACCCTCAATCCTCTTATGTATCCCAGCCAACCAATATTACGAGCTCATGTGCATACCCCAGTGTGCACGGCTGCCCTGGGCTGAACCCTGATCGCCCCATGGCTTCCAGCATTGCAAAGTGTTGCACTACCATGGAGCAACCACAGCTGGATCCCATTTATCTCTCTATAACTAAACTGGACTCACACGTTATGATCAGTTCTTCCCTCAGACACTGAGTAGAACTAAAGTAAGCACCTTCCTCTTCTCCCCTCCCTTCCCAAGTCATTCTAGACAGGCACTTTCATTATACTGTTTGAAAACGAGCACAGATAGGTCTCCAAATTTGCTTTCTTACCTGACATCTCATTTGGCAGGGCATAAAATAAGTAAGGATTTACAATTTCTAATATGCTTGCTTGTATAGTTTTATTAACTGGTAATTCTATTGTCTTCCATGGCTCAACTGAAGGTTCAGCTGAACAGATGGCTAAAAAGAGTAACAAAACACAAGTTTTCTAAGAAAATACATACAATTTACTATGGTTTCCCAGTAATATACTTAATTCAGTTACTTTCAGGCACTAATTAACAACATTATCAAATTTTCAAACAATCTTATTCAATCTGAGGAATTCTATAGGATTTTCAAAAAGTTCAGTCTATAGTGAGAATCCTTAAAACTATTACACTTCTATAGCATATTTCTAAAGTATGTTTTCATTTCTGCTGTAATTTTACATAATTGTTAAAAGTTTCTCAAACTTCAGGACCAGCAGTTAACGTAATGGCTATGTCGCTGGACTCCCATGTGTCGACTGTGGTTTGAGTCCTGGACCTGGTGGCTTATACTCACGCCGGGCGTGTGCGCGTGTGTGCCCAAGATCCAGAGAGGAGAATGGAGGGGAAGGGATTGCGGCATAGCCATCCTCTCCCAGGGGGTGTTTTCTCACTTTCTGTCTCTCTCTGTCTTTATAGTGAGCGCACACACCCTATAGCAAAAACATCTCCAAAGAAAGAAAAAAAAAGTTTCTCAAACTTCAAGAGATGCTTATCTATGTGATGCATTTACCTGATAACTACATTAAAAATGAGTACAATGTTTAATAAAACAATCAGGTTTTAAAACAAATTCATATTAAATAAATTTTAATAACCTATTATAGCCTATTATTATTTAGGTTTTTTACCACAGGGTACAAGCACTCAGAGGAGACAGAGATGAACAGAGAAATCAACCCCAATTGGGGATGGCCATGCTTCAATCCCTTCTCCTCTTGGGATTTTGGGCATACAAGAACACATGCACTTGGCATAATTTTTAAAACGAAGTCCAGGGTTTGAATCACAGTTGGCCGTGTGGACTTCCAGCGCCTTAACTACCATGGCTCCCACTGGCCCCATCTTTTAATAAGCTATTATAAAACTATGTCTACAAAGAGTATTTCTACCAGAAGATTATGTAATTTATAATGGGACAAATTTCCCAGTTATAATATTGAATGGTAACCGAAACTTAAATAACAAAGAAATGTTCTAAAAATGTTACCTTGGAGCCCGTGGGCATCGGTTTGAGGATCATGCTTATTCACAGGTCTGTTTAGTAAGTCTTTATATGGTGAATCAGCTTTTAAAACCAAATGTTCTTCATTCAGAACATCACTAATTATTCTGGGATAAGACGTGGAAAGATCAGTGAGTTCAATTCCCACCCCATTTTCAGTGATTTCAGCCACTCTCGCTTGGAGTTTTATCCCTACAACACACTTCTGAAATCTTGCAATGGCTTCTTTAGTCCAATGTTTGTTTCCAGGCTGTACATCTGGAAAATAAGAACACTGTTAAAAAGAACCCTACTGACCAGCTACATTTTTCTTCAGTGGTATGCAGGTCTGAGTCCTTGCCAAGTTTATTAATTAAGTCAGTAATCTTGACTATTCTTTATTAGTATTCAATTATATATCTATATCCACCATGACTGAGTTTTAGAAGGCTCAGTAACTTTCCTTACTTTTCCCACTAACACCTTTACCTGGCAAACAAACAAAAATAAAGGTAATACCTTCTTGTAGAATCTCGCATGATGTTCCATTACGCACACAATGATGAGTTACCAATTACGCTGACAAAAAATGTCAACTGATGAAACTTTCATTTATGTGAACAGTTTTCTAAGTATAATTTCAAAATGTCATTTTAAATTAGACAAAAATTACTTTTATTGAACAATTTTGGTGGACATTCTTTTCTTAACAGAGAGTCTCAAACTGAAGTGTGCATTTAAATCATCAAAGACTGTGGGATCCTAACCTGGAGTTTCTGCTTTAGTAGGGATAGGGATTGAAACTCTGATCTTTTATTTAAGTTTAGCTTTACCCATGAGAGAAAGCGCATTCACAAGAAAGAGAAAGAGAAAAACACCTCAAGCAATGGGGCCTGGTGATGCCACATTCCCTCCCCACCAAAGCCCTCACGTCCTGCCTGATGCCTGTGGGTCCAGATGTGAACCCTAATCAGCCCCATGGGATCTGGCTTCCCCTGCATGGCACCCTATTGCTGTGCCATGGGGCTTGGCCTAGAAGCTGTTTATAACAAGTTCCTGGTGATGCTCCTGGTTTGGGGGCCACATTTTAAAAAGCACAGACACAAAATATAGTCATATTTTATGAACAATAATCCAAGAACGATAATCCAAAACATACCTACTGTAATGCAAGTAGAAAAAAGCCAAATATTCAGAAGGAGAGAAAACCACGTATCTCTACGCTTCCAAATGTGACGACTATTCACATTTTGAAACCTAACCTACAACTTTTACCCAATACACACATCCTGTCCTGCAACAGCAGCGGCTTTTACATGCAGAAGGCCTTGCATCGTCAAGTGCATGCACACGCTTGTGCTTCTCTCTCGCTCTATTTTTTTTTTTCTTAATTTTTGTCAGAGGGCGTAGGTGCTTCCAGAGACAGGGTGAGAAAGAGAGAAAGCACCCCTACAAACCCTGTGGAGGATGTTCACACTGCAATCCCATTGTGTCCATTTCTCCCTCCTTTCAGGATTCTGGGCATGTACACATGCCTCGCAGGTTTCTCAAGGCACAGGGTTTGGGGCTCGAATCACGCTGCTGGTCACGTGGCATCCAGCCTACTAACCACCACGCCACAGTTGTGCCCAAAGTGCCTTTATTCTTAACAATTCTTTGAGGATGCTTACCATTATTTTCTAGATGGGAAAATGGAAGTATAGAAACATCATGGGACCAGCAGTTAGCGTAATGGCTATGTCGCTGGACTCCCACATAGTCGACCGCGGTTCGCGTCCCGGACTCGATGGCTTAAAACTCACGCCGGGCGCGTGTGCGTGCATGCCCAAGATCCTGAGAGGAGAACGGAGGAGAAGGGACTGTGGCGTGGCCATCCCCCCTGGGGGGTGATTTCTCGCTTTCTGGCTCTCTGTTTCTGTCTGTCTGGTGAGCACACGCGCCCTATAGCGAAAACCTCTCCAAAAAAAAACATCAAATAATCTGCCTAAACATACAATAGCTAGCAGGGAGCTGAGTTGGTATTAGAGTCTCTTCTCCTAATCACAATGCTGTCTTATTTATTTATTTATCCCATTTATATGGGATCATGGGACAGGCAAGTGGCATGGTAGTTAAGGGTGCTGGACTCCCACATAGTTGATGGCGGTTCAAGTCCTGAACCTGGCGATTTGCTTTCTCACTTTCCCTCTCTCTCACTCTGTCATTCTCTGGTCAAATTTAAGCAAATAAACAAAGTTAAGTAAAATGATTCTTTAAAATAAATAAATAAATGAATACATGGGATAGTCAGGAAAGTCATGATATATTTTTGCATAGAAAAATACATCAAGACTTTCCTGACCCCACCCCTCCACACATAAATATATATACACATACATATATACATACATATACATTCCCATAGACATACACATATATACAATACACACACACACACACATATATATAAAATTGCTAGTGAGTGTGTGAGTCTGCCAGAAAAAGACAGAACATGAGGAAGAAAACATACCCCATGGTCATGCTGCAATCCCTTCTCCCATTTCTGTATCCTGGATTTTGGGCACATATGCATCCAGTATATTTTTTAATCATGGCTGGCCTTGAGGGATCCAGCTCCCTTAACCACTGAGCTATGGAGCTGGCCCAATCCTGTGTCTCTTATATAACTCATTTTCTTTAATTAACATGCATAATTCTTCCTAACAACGGTGTACATATTTGACACCATTTTAATGACTGTGAACTGATGGCAAACACTTAAATTCAACTGAGTGCCAGACCCTGTCCTGAATATTCATCTAATCCTCACAACATATCTACAAAATAGGTACTATCATTACCCATTGTATTAATATGATCATTTAACCCTTTGTTATTGGCTATGTGGTTGGGTTTTTTTTTTTTTTTTTTTTTTTTTTTTTGCTCCTATTAACAGGAGACTAACACATTTCCTTGTAGTTGAACTTTATGGAATGCCCAGATTACAATGGAATAAATCACTAAAAGCAAAACTGCTAATTCAAAAGGTGTGAATATTTGAGGCTCTTAAGAAATTCTGCAAAATGTCTTCAAGAAGGTTGCATCTGCTTTCATTCTCGTTAGCAGAGAAAAGCAGCTGCTTCTGGGCTGATGCCAACACCTGACATTTTGGCCACCAGATTCTAAAAACATTTAAACTTTATAATGTGAAGTAGGATCCTCTAACTCACACAAAATGTTAAAATTATAGTGATAAATGCGTTAAAGAAGATATGCTCTAAATATTAGAAAACAGTTGAGAAAATGTCTAATTCCACCATACCTACTAACCAGCACTGTATCCCTTGAAATGGAAGTTTCAGAAACTTGGGCGTTATCATCTGGAGTTCATGTGCACTAACTTCTTCAATGTTTCCATAATCCACAAAATGCACTTTAACACGTCCATTGGGCAATATTTCCTTGACCAAAGCACGATACCAATTACCATCACCTGGATTTAATACAAAGTTTGTGACATGAAACATTATTCTTCTGTTCACATTTGAAATGTTTATCTTGAAGACACTCTGTTTCAAGTAAATATTTGCTGTTTTCTCTCAGATCATGCCTTTAGTTTTTTTGTTTTAAATAAATGAGAATTCTCAAAATCCATTTTTAGATCATCTCCAAAAGTTTACAGTACTACACTTCACATCCGATACAAAGATTTCATTCATAACTTATTCTGTAAATATAATGTAAAGGTAAAGGTAAGACTCAATAAACTTGAGCTACTTGTCTATTTTCAAGTCTTATAATATCTTCACTGTTAATAGCTTAGTAATGTTCCCTGGTAAAATAATATTCCAAAATAAATAGTAAGCCTCTGGCAATGAAATGGAAGTGTCTTATCAGAGACATTTTCAAAAGAAACAGTTACAAAAGAAATGACAAACCTACAGCAAGAAGTTCTTCCTTTATCTAAGTTACTTACATGTTATCAGAAATTCTGGCAGAAAAAGCATTAAAATAATGTTGAAGGATCAGCAGATGGCACAATAGTTACGTCGCTGAACTCCCCATGTAGTCAACTGCAGTTCGAGTTCCAGACCTGGTAGCTTAAAACTCACACTGGGCACGTGCGTGCATACCCAAGATCAGATCCCGAGAGGAGAATGAAGGAGAAGGGATTGCAGTATGGCTCTTCTCCTGGGGGAGGTGGGGTGGGGGGAGGGGGTGATTTCTCACTTTCTCTTTGTGTCTCTCTGGCAAGCACATGTGCCTTATGCAAAATTCTCTCTCTAAAAAAATTAATAAAATAAAAAGAATATTGAACAACGTTCAAGCAAGAAACTATCATTTCAGGGTTCTTCATAACAAAGAGACACAGGACAAATACCTGACATAAAAAAAAATTTAATTTTATTTAGTATTATTTTTTAATTTGCTATAAGGCACATGCATTCACCAGAGAGAGACAGAGAGAAAATTAGAAAGCAAGCTGTCAGGTATGGGACTTGAACTACAGTCAACCATGTGGGAGTCCAGTGTCCTAACTGCCATGCCACCTGCTGGTCCAATACATGCCATTTTAAACTTTTTTTAAAGAATTATTTTATTGAGTTTATTTATTATTATTACTTTTTAATTTGAGCAGAGAGAGAGAAGAGAAAGTGAGTCTGGGACTCAAACCAAGGTCAGCCATGTGGGAGTCCAGCACCTAACTACCACGCCACCTGCCAACCCCAATACATGACATTTTAAGCATTCATTTAGTCTTTGCTGTGAAAAATATTCACTTTAACATTGGGAAGAAAATGTGCACTATAAACAATGGCCGATCATCAACAAACAACAGGTTCTAATCAAGGTTACATTGCAACTTACCTGCAAAAAAGGCACAACAAGGTTGCCCTACTTCTGCCTTAAAACCATTAGGCAACTTCTGCTGGCAAAATTCTGCTAGTGATTTGTTTAAATCTTTGAGTTTCTTTAAAGCTGAAAATGTAAGGCATATAACATATGGCATTTAATATTTTCAAAATATAGAACATACATTTTCCTTTGAAGTCAGAAAAAGTTTGGATCATAAAAACCTCAGGTACATCCCCAAACAACTATTAAGTTGACCAAATGTCTTTTCTTCTTAAGAAATTACTGGGCGAAAGGCTGGCCCTGTAGCCTAGTGGGTGAGGGTGCTGGTTCCCATATGGCCAGCTCGTTTCAATCCTGGCCCCAGCAGCTTGAAGAACATGCCAGGCACGAGTACATGTGTGCCTAAATTCCTGACGGGATGGAGAAGTGGAGAAGAAAGGACTGTGGTGTGACCACGTCCCACTGGGGGATGCTTTCTACCTTTTTCTCCATTTCTCTTTGGCAAGCACGTGTACTTTCAGACAAAGTAAAAGAAAAAAACTATCAGGCAAATAGCCCGTTATTTAGTCAATACTCTCAATAAACACAGTACCTACAATTTACTGGGCAACAGACACAACCATGGCATTATTAGTAGTATAAACCAGATCATGAGCTTTGTAGGTGGTCAAGGATACACGATACAGGTTTATACAGAAAGTGACATAAAGCTGTCGTGAAAGAGTAAACACAATCACTCAAGAAACAGCACAGATCAGGGCCGGCAGGTAGCGTGGTGGTTAAGGGTGCTAGACTCCCACATGGCTGACCGTGTTTTGAATCCCGGACTTGGTGGCTTGCTTTCTCACTTTCCTTCTCTCTCATTCTTGCTCTGTCCCTCTCTCGTCAAATTCAAATAAATAAAGTTAAATAAAATAATTTTTGAATTAAAAAAAGAAATAGCACAGATAATGTATGCTAAGGAAATGTGGAGAACTCATGAGCCATGTGTGCTGCAGGATTCATGGAGAAATCTGAAATGGAACACCTGTGACAGAAAGGATGGGGCATTCCAGAAGGAACTGAAACAAAGTACAGAATTGCAGAATCTGGCAGCCAGAAAACACCTGGTGGGCTGCAGTCTAACCAAGAAGAGGAATGGAAAGATGAGCTACTGAAGAAAATAGCACAGATGTGCTCAGAAACATACAGACCAGAGAACATTAGGAGATAAATAGGTGTGATCCAGTAGGAAGAAGAAAAGTAATGCCTTTTTAAGTATGTGACAAAAGCTCATTCACACAAATGAAAACTAAATTACAGTGAGTTAGATTTTTTTTTTTTTCTTAGAGAGGTTTTAGCTATAGGGTGCATGCACTCACCAGAAAGACAGCAAGTGAGAAATCACACCCCCAGGAAGGATGGCCACGCTGCCATCTCTTCTCCCCCATTTTCCTCTCAGGATCTTGGGCATGCACGCACACTCGCCTGGCATGAGTTTAAGCCACCAGGTCGGGGATTCGGACTGCGGTTGACTATATGGGAGTCCAGCAACATAGCCACTATGCCAACTGCTGGTCCCATGAGTTAGAATTTTCATCTTTCAGATTGGTCAAAAGAAGCTTAAGAACACACCTCTGGCAATTGGAAATGGTGTAGAAAAAGACACCTTTGAATGCTGTTGCTGGGGAATTGCTTGGCTGATCTTGGAAGGGTACCAGGTCTCAAATGCACAAGCACGACTTACTCTTTGATCTATCAATTATAATGTTAGCAATCTGTCCCAAGGATACTCCCAGAGTAAAATCAGAGTTTAAGGACTTGTTTCAGTAATGAAAGTTTGGAAAGACTATTCCTCTATTTAGCCCCACCTAGGCTAATTAAATTAGGGTAACCTACACAATGGAACACCACGAAAAAGAATGGAATGAAAACCAAACACCAATGTGGTGTCTTGCATTGGATCTTAGAACAGAACAAGGGCATTAGTGGGAAATACAGCAAAATGCAGATAAAGTCTGGAGCTCAGTTAATAGCACTATACTACTGTTAGTCATTTAGTTTTAATGAATGTATCATAATTATGTAAGGTGTTAACTACAGAAAAACTAAGTGAGGGATATACAGAACTCTCCACATCTTTGCAACTTTTCTATAAATCTAAAACCGTTCCAAAATACAAGCTATGTTATAAAGAATGGGCCCAACCACGGAGGTGCAGGAGGTGCGGCACCAGGCAATGCTGGAGCCAGGTATAAAACTGCAGTGTGGAACAGGGGCTGACCCAAAGCACACCGGGGCCCATGCACTCCCATTGATCATGCCTGGCTAGAAGGCTGGCAGTTCATCGCAATGTGGTGAGAACTAGTCCAGAGTGCCCGTGTCTCTTCTTCCCCCCACCTCAATAAAAACCATTTTTAAAAATTAAAAATAAAAGGAACAAGAATGAATAAAACACTATGTGATAAAGGATGCTAAGAGTAAGAGGGAAAAAAAGTAAAGACACAAATCATTTACAATGTTTTACCATTTATGAACCCATAAATGAATACATACATACAAATATATATACAGATGACCTCTAAAAAGATTCTTAGAAAAATTATAGGGTGGCTGAAGGATATTTAGAAAACTGAAAAGCAGAACTAAGAAGCTTCCTTTTTAACCCATAATCTTTTAAAACTTGAATTTTATACCATGTTTGTACAGTCAACTATAAAAATGTAAAAGGAATTTGGAAATGTTCACTTTTATCATATGTGCAGTAGTGGCCTATGTACCAGACGACTCTGAGTAAAGGGACGACAGACTTCACGACTTGGAAGTCAGAAAGGGACTTAGTTACTACCTATTTACTATCCTCATTGAGAGGGGTGAAAACTAAGATCTGGAGAAAATAAAGTCAATAATCTTCACCAGAATGGCTAAAACTTAAAATACGAAGTGTTTGTGAGGATGTGGAGCAACCAGAAGTCTAAAACTGAGGACTGTCATAAACATTTTGGAAATGACATTCCACAACCCACACTGAAAGTACACATACCCGTTTATGACCCAGTAATTGCATTCCTAGATATAGGAAATACATATGGGAACCAAATTTGTTCAAGATGTTCCATATCAACATCATCTCATAGCCCAAATGAGAAGCCGAATATTCCATAGCAGAAGGAAAATAATAAACTGTAAGACCTTCACAGAACAGAGCGCTATACAACAATGAAGAATGAGCTGCTGCTCCATGTGACAACAGTCCCACCATGTAGAAAAAGGAGAGTACCAGGGCCCACAGGAGCACGTGCCACCATCCCACTTATGTACAGTCCAAAATGAGGAAAACTCGTCTAGGCTAGCAGAAGGCAGCATAGTGTTTACTTTTGAAAGAGAGGGGTAGTAAGAGAAAATATGAAGGAATCGTCCATGACATTAGTAATATTATTTCTCTTTCCTTTCCCAGGTGAGATGACAACACACACCATCATGATCACAGTTTCTGTTTGATTGCGAAAGGATGTGTGCGCTTGCCGAGAAAGCAAGCACACTCCACGGGGCATGGGCATGCTGCAATCCTATTCTAGTCTCCATCCTGCTGGGACATGCAGCACACGTGCGCATATACCCAGTGTGCTATCAAGCCGCCATGTCTGGGATTCAAAGCAACGTAGGCCATGCGAGAGCCCACACTCTTAGCCACTAGGCTACAGAGCCAATGCCCTGCTCTGTTCTACCTAGAGTCTTGCGAGGTTGCCCCAGGCCAGCTTTGAGCTCAGGATCCTCCCAATGCCTCCTCCAGAGTCATTATTATAGATGTATATCACAACGCCCGGTCTTTGCTAAAGTTTTATTTCTTGACTTAGAGGTTTTCTTACACAGAGGCATTGTCTTTGTGATAATTCACCATGCTACAGTATTCATTCACTCCTTTATGTATGTTATACTTTAAATCCACAATTAAATTTAATTCCAAAAGTAAATTTAGGAAACATGTGAATGGATATTAAAACCCAGGAGGAAACAAATCTAAAGTTTAAGTGGGGGGGGGGGAATCTACAAATCCTACACTGGCTTAAATATAAAGCAAGATTTCTGGCAATAGA